AAGAAGTTCTATAGAAAACTGGCAACTTCTTCCACTGCAGAAGAGACCTGTGTGATATTTGCTGGCTTTCATCAGAGGACTGGCTACCTTTGCTTTCCCCCCTTTTTGGTGTTGGGGTTATTGGATAGATTTGTTGCAGCACAACACTGAACATCTAACACAGTGCTGGCATCCTTAAGACAAGACTTAACAAGGAGCAAGAAAACTACCAGCAAAGACTGAAAGGAAAAACACACAGAGAATCCTGCAGTTACAGAAGCGATTACATGAACTATCATTTCATTGAGGAAAGAGGGACAAAAAGTGAGAAAATGGATAGCAGGACAGCCTGAAAAGCAGAGGATTGATTAGCAACCCACAATTACCCTGTGCTTCTTTTAGTAACAACAGTAGTAATAATATGTAAGCTTCAATCAAGCTTCCAGAGCTTCTGTCTCTCCTAAGAGAAATGCAGCCCATCCACAGCAGAGGGACAGCTTACCACAGGCTTCATAAATATTCTGCTTTTGGTGCCTGCCCAGAATTGCAATAGAAAGTGGCTCCAGTCACAGTGATGGACTACCTCCCCCTTTTGACTTAGCTGTCTCTGTAACTGAAAGATATTGACCTATGCCCAGGAAAAGTTACACATGCCTTTCCTATGTCTTCTCCAGAGCTTTGAAAAGTTACTTTTTTGTACCTCAGCTCCCAACATCCCACAACCAACAACCCTCACCAAAGGCTGCTGAGAAAACCCCACAGTCAGGGGATAAAACTGCAGCCTCAGAAGTGCATGCAGTTCAAATGGACTGCACCACTCCATTTGAATTGCATTTTTCTAAAAGTCAACTTAACTTTTGATCTGGTTATACATATGATTAGTAAACCCAACTCCAAACATAACAACAGGAAGGGATGGAAAATGCACCCCCCCAACCAAAAACCAAACTAAAACCTAACCCCAAGTGACACAAAAATTACAAACGGATGGCCCCAGGTGGCCATGGTCCAAACGATGGAGGGAAACTCATCCAGAAATGTTAAGGTCTGGTCCCCTCCTCTATTTGCCCAGTTGGTTGCCCTGCTCTTGCCTCAGGGTCCACCTATACTACTAAAAACAGACTGTTACCATTGTTCAGGGTTTAGGAATCATTTTTATTGGCTCAGGGAGTCCTTGTGAAAAGCACGGGTTTTCCAAAATGTTAGGCTTACACATAACTACCCTGGGAGGTGGTGAGCACTCCGACATTGGAGGCACCGTAGAGAAAGTTAGACAGCCATCTGTCAGATGTGCAGTACTTTAACTTGGATTCCTGCACTGAGAAGAGGCTGGAATTCAACGGCCTTATAGGCCCTTTCCAACTCCATTAATCTATGACTCTATGATAATTACACGGTTTATGATGTTGTGTTATCTGTGTTTTTCTGTTTACAAATGACCCTACACTCTAGCAGCGCTATTGGCAGTACAGTCTTTTATGACTTATCTATATTAGAAACAAGTATTAGTTTCACATTATTACAACTGTCGTGGCTTCCCTCTGGGAATTGCACTTTGAGAGCGCCAAAGAGCCCAAACTCACCCTTACAAAATTACTACTTCCAGGATTTCTTAAAAAAACAGGAACAACCCCAAAGCCAGTTTTAGTTTAGACTGATCTACAGAATCAGGATTGTCTAAATTGCATAATGAACCTTATACGGTGGTGTGTGAAAATTTTTTTTCCAGTCTGTGGCCCCCTTCAAATGTGCCAGGGGGACCAACAGCACCATATGGCCCCCGTTGAGAATGGCTGGGGTAGATAATACTGGTTTATAGAAACCTTTCATCTTATCAACATATTGACAATGGTCAACATCCAGTTCATGCTACCATAACGGTGCAAGGTGTTAAACCCGGCAACAAAGATTTGCACTATGCAATTGTGCAATCTATTGTTTATCCACAGCACAACTGACTGCACAATGTTCTAGTGGAACTGCTTCAGATATAGCACTTTTGCCTTGGTGCTATAAGTATAGTTAGTGCATATGCAACCTCAAGTTACACTTGAAAAGAAAACTTTGCTTCTTGGAAGAGTGAATGACAGCTATTTACACAGTGTCACAGAACGTTGAAAGATTTAGTCAGGGAAAAACCCAGTTATTTCCCTTCTCTGGCAACTTGGCCTTAATTGCACTTTGTACAGTTTACTCCACAGAAAAGAATGAGAGTGACCAAGCATTCCTAAAATAATTCTAGACCGTCTTTAGCACTTCGAGTCTGATAGTTTTGCTACATTCAGATTTATTTTCTGAACATATTTACTGAATGTGTTTCTTGTGGGGTACAACTCCTGGGCCTACAAATGAGAACTTTTGTTCCTATGCAGAACTGCCCCTTGGGATGAGCTGTTGGAAACCCAGCTTGAAACATTTTATGGGCATCCTCAAGCTTTGAACAGGCCCCATGTGCCTAGGCAGCTCATTGGCTCCGAACAAACAGGGAGGGCTATATAAAGTTTCCTGTTTGGGATGGGACATTGGCTGTCCACCAAGGTCTTCTTGGCTTTAATGGGTTTCTATGTTCTGATTCTGCATCTCAAAGGTGCTTATAGCTCAGTTTTGAGACCTCAGCCTTTTCCTTCACAATTCACGGTCACTTTCTTCGCTGTCAATGTTCTAGGGTTGCAGCCTTGGAGAAGTGCAGTTATCTGTACCTCTCCAACTGTGCCATCACAAAGATGTGCAGAGAGGAGCAAGCAGCCATTTCTTTGGCTTCAGTGACATAGCTCCTTCTGATGGCCAGGTGGTTTGTGGCTGCCTGCCAGGGTGCTCGCCTTTCTTTGCCAGTCAGGATTCTAGCCTGACTGGTGAGGAAAGGTGCTTGATAAGCAGACCCAAATGGGGAAGTTCCATCTCTGGTCTCTTTTGGGAACAAATATCCATTTCCCCATCTTACTGGCCGCTATTTCATAGACATGACCAACAGAATGTCCAATTAGCAGTATAGGTGATTTGGTTTAATATTGGGATGCAAGCCCAGTGGAGGCAGAAATCGTGTAATGTAGCTTTTTCTAACAAAATAATCTACTCCTCCATTCTGTCCCTTTTTAGCTCTTGGCTGTAGAAGCAGAGGCATTGCACACCTACATCTGGGCATTCCTTCCTTCCACCTTCAGCAGGGCAAAAGTGCTATCATTCATATACTGTAGTACTGTTACTAGTGAGAATAAGAGGGAACTCATGCCAGAAGGGGAAGTGGAAGGATGTACAGAAACTGCCAGAAAGTTTAAGTAATCTTGTACAGGAAAAATAGGCAGCAGTCAAAGGGAAAAGCAAGTGAAGACACTGGAACTCTGTGTTCAGCTCTTATTACTCTTTTTATTAAAGTTGTTTCTTGAAATAGATTGGAGTAGAGAAGTGTTGGAAAAGAAGATAAATCTACATAATGTGAAGAATTGTGATTACAATTAATATGCATCAATATTCAAAACCTGATCATACTTAATTTGAAATAGAGGCAGCGCTTAGAAAAGTTATTTTTTAGATTTCAGTTCCCAGATTTCATATGCTCAGTTATGCAGGCCAAGAGGTTGTGGAAGCTATACTCCAAAAAAGCAGTCTTCCAAATTACAGACAAGGAGAAGGATGTGTATAAATGCTTTGGTCTCTCATCCTTTAGCACTTCGTGGTATTTCTCTTAATGCATTAGCTCTTCCTGTTCTATGAAAGTTTGTCAGCGCATAATAGGGAAAAGGTCTATCTAGGGTGACTAATTGACCCATGCAAGTTATTGTTCCCCTAGAATCTCTTATCATTCATATGAATCAGCCTCCTTACTAGGAACACTGGGAATTTAACCTTATCAGGACCTTATCAGATAAATAGCAACATAATGGACTGGAAACTTGTTCCCAGTACAGTCTAAAAAGAATCCCGTGGAAACAGTATTAAGCAGTTAGGTGGCAAAGTGAATCCTATGAGATGTTATTTTCAAATCAGACTTGTTGACAGTACTACTTTGAGAAGCTATATATTTCCCTAAAAGTTGCAGTTGCATTCACGCATGTAGAAAAAAAAAAACAAGAGATGCAAAAAATAGAAACAAAACTAAGACAAACCAGACACTTTCCATATTTTTTCTAAAGAATGTGGTGAAGAAAGGTATAATATGGCAGTTCTATGGATTTCTCTTAGAATATTTATGCATTAAGCTTAAATACACGGGCATATAACTCTTGGGTTCTATCAATTCAAAATTCACTGATCTCAAGGACTAAATTTCCAGTAAAGATTGTATCTGTTATAACATTCTCAGTCTAAAATGGAAGAAATCAACACAATGGTGGAAGGAAAATTAAAAATAAGGGTGGAAATGTGCTTGGCTTATGTTGATTTGCCTGGTATGTTTGGTATAAAACATGCTGAAATATTGCTATAATGGAGATCCCTCCAAGTGGTATATTTTAGGCTTCTGATGCACTTCATTTTTTGTTCTTAACATCACAGATGAGGGTGTCTTAGCATATAAACTCTAAAGCTTCCCAGGTGCATAGACCACTGAATTATAAATCTGGAGAAAACGCATATTCCAATATGAATTTATTTTGATTATCAATAGTAGTAGAAATGCAGGGCCGTGGGAAATCTACATGTTCAGATTCATGCCTGGTAGGTGATAGCCAAAATATTCCAGCAATGACATGATAAGTGGAAATAGAAATTCATGCCTGATTATTTCAAGATGAAGAACAATTGTTTTAGGCTATAATGCCAGCCCATAAGGTATGGGCTCAAAACTAACACCAGGCTCTCAAGTTGGTAAGAAAGATAAAAGGAACATTTTCACTTTCATTGAGTAATGTGGTACGTACCTTGGTTGAAACCAGCAACCTAATTCCTAACTCTGAAACATGGCAAATATTTACTTTTTTTTAAATCTTTTGTGATATTCCAGTCTTAAGATCATCAAAGAAAAAGAACCAGCTTTTACATATTTTCAGCCACGTTCTCTGGGATAAACTCAGATCACTACTTACAATCCGTGGTTTGAAGGGTGGCTTGATTTTCCTTTGTTCTAAAAGAACCCAGTCAATTTCTTTGAAGAACGGGTGTTGTTTAATGGCCTCTTCACCATTCTGAGATGTCACACAGCCAAGTCGCTTATTTGGATTTTTTGTCATGAACTGCAGAAAAATAGAAAAGTCGGCAAATATTAATAATGAGGTGGGGTTGGGTGGCTTGTATTAACGAAATGGTAAAGAACATCAGGTCAAGCTTCTAGAAAAGCAGTGAAGGCTCTACCATTCGATTTGGGTCAGACTTTCTGGTATCTTTCCATTTCAATACAATCTATTATTATTATTATTATTATTATTATTATTATTATTATTATTATTATTATTATTATTATTATTATTATTATTATTATTATTATTATTATTATTATTATTATTATTATGATGGCAAAAAGGATGGTAAAAGGGAGGCTGAAATAATGGGAAAGCCTGGAATATCATCAACAGACACTATATATAATATAGAGTAGGATATTATAGGATACATAATATAGGATAGCTATTTCACTGAAACATTCATCAGGCAAAATGTACTATTTCATATAAAACGAAATAATGAACCACAGCTAACCCAGCTTATCAGTTTAGTGTACCTGTATGCTACATATGCTTCTTTCATTACATTTTAAGGTATAAGAGAAAGATAATATACAGCTGACAGCAATGTACTCTCTAATATATAATTAAAAACCTCTTCACATGGGATGGCATCACATGCAAAAGTTCTAGTTTCAATGCCTGTTATTTACAGATGGGGCTTGGGAAAACCCCTCTCCAAAACTCTGGAGCACCACCAACACCACACTTTTGGTGTAGACTGCACTAAGTTAGAAGGGCCATTGGTCTGGCTTGATAAGAGCCTCGTGGCGCAGTGGTTAAAACGCTGTACTGCAGCTAAAACTGTGCTTACGACCTGGGGTTCAAATCCCAGGTAGCCGGCTCAAGGTTGACTCAGCCTTCCATCCTTCTGAGGTCGGTAAAATGAGTACCCAGCTTGCTGGGGGGGGCAATGTGTAGCCTGTATAATTAAATTGTAAACTGCCCGGAGAGTGCTTGTAGCGCTATGGGGCGGTATATAAGTCCAATAAATAAATAAATAAATAAATAAATAAGAGACAGCTTGCTATACCCCTCAGATTACAGTCTGAGGATTGTCCAGTCTACCAAAGTTCAGCATCTTAAGGGATGTGATCAGTGATAAGGGAAGACATCAAAAAACCTAGTAATTTGTTAAATACACAGTATTCTATCAGTAGAGATGTCAATCTTTGCTTATTTCATTCTAAAGGGACTGAGTGTGAAACATTCTAAAAATGTTTTACTCCTCCTGGGTAGGCCAATGAAAGTTTTTGTGCTTTATTATTATTATTATTTTGCTCATAACCTTGGTATTTTGTGAGAAATGTGTATTTTTCTTCCTTCGTGGGGTGTTTGAACAAAAACATATTTCTGTTTTGTTTGCTACTGCTGATGGAAAAAAAGCTCTGGTTCTTTCACTCTCTTGCATAACAGAAAAAAATCTTATAGCAGTCGCCATTTGTGTCAGCAGGGTGTTTTTTATGGATGAAAATATCTGCAAGTATTCATTACACTTTTATCCATCAGTATGTAAACATATGAAGCTAACAAAATTTCTGTGTTGGGTCATTCTGTTCTGAGTGGCAAGATCTCTCCATGGCTTCACAACAGAGGTTTTATTTTTCAGTCCTGCTGTATGGAAATCTTTTACCAAGATCTGAGGAACCCCCCCACATCTAACATTAGGCTCCAAGTCTCATCAGCTCCAGCAAGCTTGGCCAATGGTGAAGGAAAGAGTTCAAAGTAACTTTGTTACCTGTAACACATTAGTTTTTGATAAAAATCTTGCTCCCGTCATTACTTTTTTCATAGTACACTTGACTATTTTTATATTTTTAATGTACTTTTTAAAAAAGTGAAGTGTTACTAATAAGTAATGTACAGGCCATTTTTACACAACAGAAATACTAGTAAGTACATTATTGGGGGAAAAGCCCACATAATCTTTGCAAGATTTGCTGAGGAATTGTAGATATACAGTTCGTCAAAAACTGGAGGGTTACAACTTGTTCTGTTTCTTGCTCTATCCAGAGATGCTGGGGATCTAATTTAGTCAAATCCCCAAAGCAGATCTAACACTAAATTATAATTCCTCTATACTTCATATAATTCTAATTTTCAAAGAAGGGAATCAAGCCTAAGCTTTAAATGAAGGTTTCAAATTTCCAGAAGTCATGAGATACTTAACCACTGCTGTGGCTTCAAGGCTCTGTCAAGAAATCTCTGTAAATGAATACGCCCTTTGCCAACAAAGCACTGCAAAGATTTTGGTTCTGGTTTAGAGAATTCTCACAATGTTAAATTTCAAAGCATCCATAGTTGATGGTGTTGCAGAGTTGGAAGATTTAGATGAATGCTACAAAGGAAGGGGTAACATGGCAAGAAAATGATGTTGAACTGAAAGCGAAGACTATTCTGCAAAAGTGACTCCAAAAAGTTTTCACAAATCTTAGGACTCTGGTACACAGCGCCTGATGAACAAAACCCCATGTTGAACAGTGCAATGTGAGGAAATGAAGTGTTCCAAAGCTAATCCCTTGTTAATATCCACCAGTTCAGTATACAGCCGCCCCTCCATTTCCCCTGTTTCCCCTGCTCCTCTGTTAAGTGCATACCACTGAAGCACAAAAGGAATAACACAACTTCCAGACACTAAACTACAGCTCACCCATAAGAAGTCTTCCTTTCCCCCCTTTTCCCTCCTTGTTTTCTACTCTCCAACTCACCAAGTGGTTATAGATTGGCCCCAATCCCTCACATGTTTTAAATGATCCAAGGTTATTAAACCTGTCAGAGTCACACTTAAGTTCTGAAATATTCTGAGCCATCAGGAAACCAATGTGGGTATACAGCTATGCCATCTAATACAACCCCTACATTGAGATCACCATCCAAGAATTCTGTAGGGGACCGTATTCCATGCAACAAGGATAAGAGCTGTCACTAGTTTATCATGGAGCCCAGTTCAATTGCAGAGAACATTTCTAGGTTAAGTCTCATTTGCATGATTTTGGGTGGATTCCTACTAGGGGCCGGAACATACTACTGATCTTTTTGTCAAAGCAGATGGGTTTTGATTCAGAGTAAAAGATACCAGGTATTGCAGAAAGCTATGGAATTCTTGCTATGTTTTAAAACGTCCACTTTGAAGGAGTTGGGTATGTTTAGCCTGGAGAACAGCAAATCTTAAAATATCTGAAATATGTTTTTTGCTGCTCCACTGGACTAGGTCAAAAGCAATAGATTTAAATTGTCAAGAAGGATAATTTTGACTGAACATTAGGAAAAACCTCCTGGCACATCAACTGTTCAGTAGCAAAATGGAATGGACTCTCCCTCAGAGAATTTTTTTAAACAAAGGTGATATAACAAGGTACAGCTTCCATGGTATGGAGACCAACAGGTTAACGTTCCAGGGTTTTGTGATCCAAAACCTGAAGCAGGGTTAACAGTATGTAGAAATTCCATTACAAGGCCATCCAAAGAGATTTTATTACCTGACAGACTGGATTGAATCTTATTTCAACATTAGGGGTGGGCTCAAGAGACTTGCACTACACCCACGATTAGCAGATTACAGGGTAAGGCATGTGGCAGGCACAGCTCTGGCTTCTAAGGCAATACAATTGTGATGGTAGTGGGAAGCTCAAGTAGAACAGCCAGGTAGAACAACCAGAGGGTTCCTGCAGCTGTCCTCCAACATCTGCTGCCCGAGTCAGCTGCCTCACTACGCCTAAGGTGGGAGTTGGAAATCTTAGTGGGATACCCAGACAGTGAGAATGCAATGTGTAGAACTCTGTACAAATGCTGGCATATGGTAATCATGTGAGTTCAGTTCCCAGGTTGAGTTGCCTGTAATTCTCTGATAAGGACTTTCCTAGTGGTTGTTCCCAGGCTCTGGAAGTCCATACCAAACTGTCCTCTTAGTTCTGCTGGCAGGGAAATACCATTTTAGTCAAAAGAGGCCTTTTGACATTAAATCTGGAGTATTACTGATGGAGGTTTTGACTACTTATATTGTTTTTGTTAATTTCAAACATGTGTTTCTTAATGTACTTAACATAGTGATAGATGTGTTATTTACTGTATGTGTTCTTAATTGTGTCCATAATCTGTTTCTATGATTTAATTATATTTTTATTTTTATTTAATTATTATTACCCACATTAAGTGCCTTTTTTGGCAAAGTTGCAAGAAAAACATCCATCCATCTATCCCCAGCCCAATGCAGGTACAGAGAACTGGAGCCTGTCAAGTAGAGTTCTTAGATAATTTTTACAGCATGGATGTGCTGTGTTGTGCATATATGCAGGATTCATTCCTCTTCCAGAGTACCTAAAAAGTGAGTAGATTGTTTTTGCCTTGGATTAAGGAGTTCTTTCTTTCTGGGAATCCTGAGAGCCCCATGAAATGGACGATGTGATCTTTAAAATAAAGAGAATTTACTGTAATTTCACATAAACATTCATTAGCTGGATCTTTTGCAAGGAGTCAAGACACCTGCAGCTGTTTGCTTCTGATGCAGACAAGCAGACCTTTCAATGAAATATTGCAGTACAGGGAACTCCTATTAGCGATTCTAGCCAGCCATGCCCTCATCCAGAATACCTCAGTTTCAATTTTCTTCTCCTTATCAACAGTCAGCATTCTGCAATCACTTAGCACTCTCTGTCCTTAATGATTTGTTTTGGGGCAGTTGTTTTCTTTCTACTTTTTATTTTGAAAGTTCTAACAATTTTTTGATAATTTTGTAAACTTTGGCCATTCCCAAGCTCCCTTGTGAGTGGATGGCGCTGGTTTGGTAACAGAAGGCCGATCACTCAATGAACTGAAAATATGATCAGTATAAATGGATCATGTTAGAAATTATTCAGATTAAGGGAGATTTAAATGAAATTAGAATCTTATTTAGATGTCATATTAGTGTCTAATTTAATTTCACCTTCAAATTGTTAATTTCAATTAAGCATGTCTTATGATAGACAATTTGCCATACTATGTTTAGACATCCCTTTAGTTAGAACTGCTGGACAATTCAGTGGTTTAAGGTTGGGAGTTTGATTCCCCACTATGCCTTCTTGACAGGGGCTGGATTCAATGATCCAATGGGGTTCCTTCCAGCTCTGCAGTTCAAAGATGATGATGATTAAGGGACATTCCTTTTTTTTTTTTTTGACAGCAGGCTGGGTATGTACTTTGTCTAAACTAACCAACCTCCAATATTAATGATACTGAACATAAATGTTTCGAGGGACTGTCTCATGTCAAACAAAGACACACATATTAAACTAACATCCTATTAATTTTCTCCTTTTTAAAAAAGGCAATGGAGACAAAGAAACATTTTAAACCGTAAGCAGGAATTTGAACCTAGCCTGCACTCCTTTGCGGGCTTACTTAGGAGTAAGTCCAACTAAAATTAATCAGCCATTCTTCTCGGATAATGGAACAAAGGACTGATCTGTTGTTCTAATAAGTTTGTTTTTGGATCAGGGCCTGATGTAAACGTGAAGGCTGTGTTTCTTTAATTACATAATCCTTCCCCTGCTGGAGCAGCCACACAGTATGCAGCGTCAGCCTGATAAGGGGCTTCAGTTGTTTCTGGTTTTTTTTTTAAACTTCTTCCTGAAACATGACTCTTGAGTGTGTACATTTATACAGTAATATGGCCGCAAAGAAACAAACATTTTGTCCCTTTCCCACAAGAAGTGTAATTCATTCTGGATCCCCTTAATACTGACAATGACTCTGTGAACTGTGGCTGAACTCCCAGTGGTGAGTGTTCTTCTAACTGTGGAAGAGAAATCAGATTTAAGAAGAGAGATAGCAAGATAGATACAAAAGGGCAAGGGGAATATGAGAGCCATGTCTTACAGCTTTCAAAATGCTGACAGCTTCTTTGCTAAGCCACACTGGATACAGGACATCATCATGCAGGATGGACTCAAAGAGGTCATCTTCATTGTCAGCTTCAAATGGAGGTTGCCCAGCCATCATTTCATACATGAGAACACCAAGTGCCCACCAATCTACTGAGGGACCATATTCCAATTCCTGGAGGATCTGATGGGGAAATCAAGAAGGGAGACATTTATTTTATATATTTAATTGATGTCATTAATAGAATGCCTTTCTCCTGATGAGGAGACTCAAGGTGGCTCAAGCTGCTAACATAAAATTAAAAACACGATAAATTACACATTAAAAACAATTAAATGATCATAGTAATTTAAAATACACTGAATGATTAAAAACATGTAACATTTAAGCTTATTTAGATAAACACCAGCAGAGAATCAATTTTGATTATTAAAAGCCTGCCTGAAGAGGTAAGTCCAACTATCAGAGGATGGATAAAAGCGAGGGGATAAAAGTAACCTCACAAAGGAGAGCAGTTCACAACCTGTGAGCAGCCACAGAAAACACCCTCTCTCGTGTCCCATCAAACATGCCTGGAATGGCAATGGACTAAGAGAAAGGGATTCACTGATGATCCTGAAGACCAGGAAGGCTCATATGGGGAGATATGACAGCTTGGACCCTTCAGATAGCCAGGACCCAGACAGTACAGGGCTGTGTTTCCCAACCTGGAGGCCGAGACCGCCAAAGAGGTCACAACTTGCTTTTTGGAGGGGTTGCAGGCCACCTTATATGTGTTGTAGCTCTTTTCAAATAATGCTTTCCTTGACTTTTCTGAGAGGGATATTAAAGTTAGTGTTTATGTGTATGTATGAGAAATAGGACCTTTGGGGAAGAAAGAAGCCTCTACTTTCTGAGAAGGAATGACTAGAGTTATTTTTTTTTTTACAAAAAGAGAAATGCTAGCATAAAGATATAATTGCTGCCACTTCCACAAGAAAGGGATTTCAACTATGACACATCTGGATAGCCTACTGAAGGAGAGGAAAGGGAAAAAGAACCTTCCCCCACAAAGCTTTATAATAGTTATGCCTCACAACATGAACACAACTGAATTCATCAATGAATTCATCAATATATAGTCACTATATATTGCATCATGTATCTGTGAAAATATTTTACATGTCCAGTGTATGAGTGGGAGAAACTAGTTAAAACATTTATAATGCTGGTTCATAGAATGAGACAGTCTACTTGATGTTTCCTCATGCCAATGGTGCACACCTTATCCTGACATAATATCCATGAAATTCTGTAAAGAACTGCTTGTTTTCAATGTTGCAAAGGCCTACAAGATCTGTCATCAGAAAGTAATGTGGGTTGTTTAACAGCATGTAAAAAATATTCACATTGTCAGTCAAGGAAACTTATAGGGCAGTGATGGGCATGCTTTAATTTTTGACCCATCAGGACAGCCCCTTCATTTTGTTGTGACACACTGGCTGGCATCCTGTTGCTTAGCAAGTTGCATTAGAGTAAGTCCATTGAATCGGGGGGGGGGTTGGGAAGTCACCTCCTCCACAAGTTCCATTGATTCAAATGGCCAGCCCTATTTGTAATTTAGCAAGTCACAACTAAAGTAGGCCCATTTAAATCAATGGAAATGATGGAGGAGTTGACCCAACAAATCCTCATTGATCAGGTTGGTCTACTCTAGTGTGACTTACTATGCTAAGCAGCAGGATTTCATCTATTCCATTCTGCCCCTCCATTCTATTTCCCTTCAACATTGGTAACTTCCCTGCTCATTGTAGGTCAAAGGGAAACAAGTAGAGGAGTGATGATCGGCTTGGAAGCAAAAAAGCAAAAAGATCCAACACAAAATATGAGTATAAGAAAAACAACCAGAGTAAAATTCAACAGGATACAATGGGTCAGCCAAGTGCTGCTTTGATTTCCCCAAGGCTAGAAGGTCAGCCAATGAAGCTCAATGAGGGGAAATCCAGGCTAACCCAAAGTGCTTTTCATGTCTGTGCATGGTTGAACTTGGTGCTGCCCACCAAGGGACAAATTCATGGCAGATAAGCCTATTAACAGCTACTGGGTTGAGTGGCCATTCTGCAGGTAGGAGAGGGTGCTATTGCCCTCATATCCTCTTTGTTGGCTGTTTTCCACAGTGGCTGGCCACTGTAGAAAACAGGTTACTGCACTCGTTTGATCCAACAGGGCTTTTCTTTCGTCTTTACCATGTATATAACAAGAGAGACTAATCTTGAGTGACACCAGCTCCTTTCTACTGCATTTTCTAGAGAAGCAGTTATTTGTCTCTCCCTGTTCCTCCATATTAATTCTCTTCCCCCCCCCCATGCATAGAGCAACAAAAATAGTGGGATTGTATAACAGTTCACTGAAGCTTGGGGGAAAGAAGTTAATAACTGGAATCACATTTTATAAGTAGCCTCTTCCCTGGATGCAGAACTTGGAAAAATTACTGTTTCAATGACAGTGTCTAGAATCTTCTTGTTATCAGTGGCCACACATATATTCCAAAAAGGTAACTTTTTCAGGGTCTGCTAGTATAGTGGAACCATGGGAAATCTCTGTTTCCTGATTTATTTAAGTCATGTTATATACTTTGGGACTAGTTTAAAAAGCAAAAAAAGTTCTACTCATGGGTTGGCCCTAGACAAATTCCCCCATGTGATCATGCTCTGGTTCATGCACACATATGGCTAAATAAGGCTCCTTTCCTCCATGAAGTGACTATGTACATGGAAGTATAATGATTCCTACAATCACAGCAGTGCCAATAAAAATATAATGTCCAACTTGATGAAGACGCCTGCAGAAGAGTCCAAAAGCTAGCTTCTGTTTGTGAAATTTTAGTGATTCAATAAAGATCTCACACCCCCTTCACCTCCCGGGAATGGCTAAAATCCCACATGGCCAAGGATAAAGACAATCCCAAATTCTTGTGAGAATGGTGCTGTCCTGCAGGACAATTTTGCCAATAGAGAAAAACTTGAATATGGCAGCATGAGGGTAAGTGTCCCACATGTGAATTGATCTGGTGTATAAGCCTGCATAATAGGAAATGCTTTTCTGCACTTTTAGATACAAACTATCTATACCTCTGGAGCTATATAATCTGGTGTTCCACAAAAGGTAGTAGTCGTTACGCCGTTCAAGATCCCTTCCTTACACATTCCAAAGTCAGCCAGTTTGCAGTGACCTTCTGCATCTAGAAGAATATTATCCAGTTTCAGGTCCCTTTAATCAAGAAAGAAACAGAAAGGTTATTATACCTTAACAACAGAGCAAAGTAATGCAAAGCAAAACCATTTTTCTTCAATTATTTGGAAAAAGCTAGCACAATTCATTTTGTCATTTAAGAACAGAGCACCAAATGGGCATCAGTAATTTAATACAGCAAAATAAACCCAACGAAATATTTCAAAACATCAGATGAAGCAAATTACTGTAATTTGGAACAGCTATATTTATACTTCCTTAGTAAATAATATAACTTTTTAAAAACTCTTCATTAAGCCGACATACACATTGAAATGTTTCATTCTTGGATTTATTTTACCTAATTTATTAAAGGTTTCATGTAAATTTGCTGGACATTGATTTACCGTTCAGTGACAAAACACTAAGGATGCTCTCTCTTGTTCCAAGCATAACCATCCATCTTCTTTCATACTTGTTTCTGTTGAACAGTTTTTCAAAAAGATCTTTTTAACACCTTGCAGTATTAGAACTTTATGAACATGGCAAGGGGACAGAGTCCCAGACTCGTCTCAAAGAACCAGTGAAGCTACTTCGCTAGCAGGAGAGCATGCCAGTAAATGTGAATCTCTGGGACACAACAAAACCTACAGAACCATCCATCTTTCCTTTTGTTAGTTGTTTTGATGCCAAGTATCTGCCTTTAAATCAAAGTTTATGCAAAGACATAATGCTGAGAAGTTAGGAGGCAACCATTTCTTAAATTTCTCTTTTTTAATTCTAACTTGAAGACCAAAAGAAAGTGCAGCCCCAAAGGCAAGTTCTATTCATGGTTTGGCTACACCTGATTTTAAATGGTGTGAGCAGAAAAAAAAGTGTCTGGCTTGTGCCAATGCAGTGGCAATAGATTGAGTTGTATTTCTTCAAAACTGGATTGCTGATGTCTGTCATATGGATAATTAAATCAATTAGGTGAAGGTAAAGGTTCCCCTTGACATTTAGTCCAGTTGTGTCCGACTCTAGGGGGCGGTGCTCATCCCCGTTTCCAAGCTGTAGAGCCAGCGTTTGTCCGAAGGCAGTTTCCGTGGTCACATGGCCAGTGCAAGTAGTCACGGAACGCCGTTACCTTCCCACCGAGATGGTACCTATTTATCTACTCGCATTTGCATGCTTTTGAACTGCTAGGTTGGCAGAAGCTGGAACAAGCGACAGGAGCTCACTCCGTCACATGGATTTGATCTTACGACTGCTGGTCTTCCGACCTTGCAGCACAGAGGCTTCTGCGGTTTAACCCGCAGCACTACCATGTCCCTCCAGTCAATTAGGTTAGTGCAATAAACTTCCTTTCTGAGAAAATTGAAGATCCAAATTAATAGAATAGGTTGAGCTTTGGATTCAATTACCCATAACTCTTTATTCACACAAAGGACTTGCAAATATGTGAAGAAATTGCTGAGAAGTCTAGAAAGATATCAGTTAACTGTGGTGCTGGTTTACGAGAAGAAACTTCTTAAATTATCATTTTGCCAGATTTAAATTAGTTAAGAAAGATGCATGGTTCTCTCTTTCCCAAATAGTCACAGACATATGGATGTAATAGATCCATTGGAAAAATCATTTCTGATTTCAGAAGAATGCATACAAACTGGAACAAGTTCAGAGGAAGGCAACAGAACTGGGCATGTTTAGTCTTGAGAAAAGAAAACTGAGGGGAGATAAGATAGCACTTTTCAAATTTTTGAAAGGTTGTCATACA